GTATAGATTTTAAAATCTTGCTAATTACTTATAAACCTGAATGGTTTAGCACCTAAGTACTTGAGCGAGCTCTTATCGCATTATAGTCCTCCACGTCCGCTGCGCTCTCAAAACTCTGGCAATTTGATAATACCTAGAATATCAAAATCAAATGCGGGCGGCAGATCCTTTTCCTATTATGCTGTTAAGCCTATGTTGTTGTCGGTACAGGCGGCCAGCATCTCCAGCTCCAGATCCTCAGTGCTCTCAAGCCCAGTGGCCCCTGTGCACCCTGTCCAAGAGATCATTCCTTTGTTCATGGCACTTCCAGAAATGGCGGTTGCCATTTTGTTCGTGTGGGCTGCACACACTTCTCCTGATCCACCCAAAATGGCAGAGCCCACTCCAGCCACCGAGTCTGCACCGGAGGCTGCCCCAGCCAATGAATCTACCCCAGAGCCTGGCCAGGAGGCCGTTTATGAATTCTTTGCTCATTCTGTCATGGCCAAGGTGGCTGTCTCTGAACTCTCTGCTTGTACTGTTATAGACAAAGGGGTCATTTATGTACCCTCTGCCTGCCCTGTCATGGCCACGGAGGCTGTCTCTGAACCCTCTATCTGTCCTGTCACAGCCAAGGAGGCCGTCTCTGAGTTCTTCGCCTGTCCTGTCATACCCAAGGAAGCTGCCTTTGTCAGCCTGTTTTGACACGACCACGGAGGTCGTCAATGAACTCTCTGCCTGTCCTGTTACTGCCTCAGGGGCCATTTCTAAACTTTCTTTGCTGTCTGTTTCAGTTCTGCCTGATCCACCATGGTGGTCTTCTGCTCTGTCTGTGCCACCGTGGTGGTCTCCAGCTCCAACTGCGCTGCTGTGGTGGTCTTCTGCTCCACCTACCTTACCTTGGCTGCCTGCTCTGCTTCCTCCGTTCTGGTCTCCAGCTCCACCCTGGCCACCAATACTCCAGCTCTGCCCTGGCCACCTGCAATGCTGGCTCTGCCCTGGTCTCCAGCTCCACCCTGGCTGCCTGGTCCGCTGGCTCCTCTCTGGTCACCTGCTCTGCCCTGGTCTCTCGCTCTGCCTGTGCCACTCTGGTCACTTGCTCCACCACAGTCTTCAGGCCCTCTTCCACCACATGGGCCTGAGCCTCCATTCTCCCCCTGTTTCACCTCCGCTCCACCACCCTCCAGCACTGCGACCTTGTTCGGAGAACCTTAGGAGGGGGCTATATCATGATCCCTGCCCGTGTTGCCTGTGTCACTGGTCATGGACTATTGTTGTGTAGTTCTGTCTTCATTGTTGCTTTGTTCACCTCATGTTTCCCTGCTGCTCCGTTTCCTTGTTTGTTGACATGGACACACCCATCTCCTTGTTAGTTTCCTTAGTTACTCATTAGTTCATTGGTTCAACTCAGCTTATATAGTCCTTGTGTTTCTCTCATGCTCTGTCAGTTGTTTGATGTTGTGGTTGATGTTATGTTCTTGTTCCTCGTGCCCCCAGTGTCTGTGTTTGCAGTTGTTCCTGTCAATAAATTCCTGCACTAAGATGTGCTTGTCCCTGCCTGCATCATTACACTTATATCAGCTCACCACCAGCACTCAGTTCTAAAAATATACTAACTTGTTCATTAATGCCTTCATTGTTCAGTTATAGTATGCTGGTTATTGATTTACACTCTCGTGACTGTGGGTCATTTACGGTGTGATAATATCTTACTTTTACCCTTTCACTTTATAAACTTCTCTAACACTGAGCAGTGGGCCATTAAGGTTGACCATCATTAAATTTGCAACATTTATGCATACCTCCTGTCAGACATTGATATTCATAGGACTAAAAGCCCACCTACATTCTACTGTCTGATGACAGGAAAGGTCTGCATAGAGTTCCTGAAGGGTTTCAAATCTTGGCACTCAGTATGATTCAATTAAGCCTTGCATTCCCCTAATGCCCTGGGCAGAGCATAAACTAAAACGTGTAAAGAGTCTACAAATCTCTGCTTCACTATAAAGTACAAGCTACTAAGCTACTAAGCTCCAATGGATACCTGCTTCTGTAAAGAAAACTTAGATCTTTGAGAATTTCCTTCTCAAAAGGAAGGTACTTCTGTAGACTTAAAATTAGGCTTTGCAAAAAATCTTCAGTGTTGATGGAATCAGAGTTTAACAGTGGCTTTAACAATGAGTGTCTAGTCCACTCACTACACTGCCTTGCCTCAATTGATGACGGTGGTCAGGGGTAGGGAAAGGTACAATTCTAGTGACAATGTACTAATTACAACAAAGAATCAAATTACGATAAAGTTAAACGACAAGCTAACATTAGGAAAGTAGGTTATGGACTTCTGAAGCAGCAAAACAAGTGTACGAGGGTATAGGAAAAGACTGGTTAAGTCGTTATATGTAAACAGCCCAGGGAAAAAGTAAGCATGCAGCATATGCCATATGGCCCCGAATACACCTCTGATGGAGTCAGATTTCAGTCAGCTAACTGCATAGGCTATTTGGCCATTTGAGTCTGTTTGGTTGGATCATGCACCCACTGATATGAAAGATAAATGTGAATCAGGCAATTCTGTTTAATTAGAATGGAATATTTTCTGACTGTGATTATAGTCATGCAAAAATATTAATCTGAAAATAAGTTTAAAAACAATTATCCTAATTAATTAACGGAGGAGAATACTAGATTTTTCAGTATAACAATTATTTGACACATTAATTGTTTTTGCATCTGACAGGGCTGACCCATTGTGAGTGAAAGGCAAGGATAAACAAACATTTCTTAGAAAATGAAAGAAGCAAGATTTCACCCAGACATAGGTGAATACCTCTGAACAAGTTAAACACATTGATAAAAAAAAAACAACAAAAACAAATCCATAACAAACTTTTTTTTTCTGCCCATAAACTTGAGTGAAAAAGATTCACAGGATTTTCAAATAGCCTACGTTAATTCAAGAATTGACGTTCCTGTGAACTGCGGTGTTTGACTGCTAGGGTGTGTACTTTCCGCGCCTGACTGGACAACTGCGCATCATTTCACATCGAAGCAGCACGAGCGGAGGGAATGAGCTAGTGGAGTCTGAGGAGCAATTTATTGCGAAGCGAAAAGATAAATTGATATTAGAGAAATAAAATATTTACAAACCCAGTGAACATATATTACTATAGATCAATGGATTGATACTTTATGACATCTTACACAGGCGTCGTAAACAAACGTGAAAAGAAAACAAGTGGAGAACAAACAGTGACATCTGTGTGGTAGGTTTCCCTTTTAATTGTAGAATCATAAGATGATTTCCAAATGATGGGAGAACAAATTAAAAGCGGAGATGCAACATTTTGCTTTAAATATCATGTTGATTTCTATCAAAACGCAACAATAGCCTAATATATAAATTTTTTTTTTCAGGAAGCAGGCTACGTTTAGAAAGAGGTTAAAGAGAAGCGCATATCCAGTATAATGATAAAGGAACAAAATGTATTGATTAAATGGAATCTTCACGATTTATTGTGTTTAAGAGCATAGCGATATGCAATTTTTTAAGAACAGCAGTGGCCATTGGTACGCTTTCAATTTAATACAGTGCTTGCAAATGTCTAGGCCAAATCCTGCTTATTTATTATTATTATTATTTATTTATTTTTGTTACTTTTGAATGTAGGCTAGGTTGTGTTTGTGTGTGTGACCTGTTAAGTCCTGTAGGCTATTTGAACTAGGCTATAGGCTACTTGCATTGCATGGTTTTGAGGTCTCCGAGTTTAAAAAGAGTAAAAGCTGTCCTTTGGTATTGATTTATCATTTGACCACTGCCAAGTTGCGCTGTACGGTAGCTAATGTACACAAACTGAAAGCTTAGCCTACCTATCGCCTGGCTACACATTAATAAAGTAAACTATTAAAATAATGGCAGCAACCGCTGTGTAATATATACAACTTTACTACAGGATGCCTTTTATATACACAATTTATATTTTACTTATTCTCTAGATTATATTATTATTTCTGGTGTAGCCTACTTTCTACAAGAAAGTTGATTACGCACTAGCCTACTGATTCCAGATGCCCACTGGATGGCATTAAGACACGATTTTCTTGTTTTAATTAGAGTTAGCCTATTTCTAGTTGGCCTAATCATGGCTTCTATGGCGCTTGAGATGCGATAGGCTATTGATGTCCGTGAAAACGGATTAGTCTATTTTCGATAAAGAATCGGTTCACAAATCATATAGCCTACTAATTCTGTGATTTCGGTGATATCAGATTGCAACTGTTCTGATCGAATCACTAAACCACAATAAATTGAGTGCGTCAGTAATTAGGCTACTACATATTAATTGTGTCATGTGATATGGGCAAATATCGATATTCGACTCTGTACGATCAGCAATGCACGACACAAACTTGCATAGGCTAAGTTTTGCAGGGACCCTCAGTATAGGTGTACTGGTTTTTATACAGAGCTAATTAATTTTTCTATCCTTTAACCCTAACCCAACCACTAAACATAACCTCACAGAAAACTTTTGGCATTTTTTACTTTTTACTTTTGTGAGTTAACAGCTTATTTCTTAATTAACTGACAGCTTGTTCACTAATCTTCAGTGTTTGCCATTCAATTTTTGTTAATTTATTTTGAAGTGAGCTATATTTGGCGTTTACAATGGAAAACTAAAAAGAAATCAAGGACAGGAAGTATTCAGTTTACATTTAGTACGCATTTGGCAGACACTATTCAAGACACTGCATTCAAGGAACACATCACCCTTACCAAAAAGAAGTATATTTTAAGTTTATTTTATTAAGTATACTTAAGTAAAGTTTAAGTATATTTTTAAGTATACTTTATGTAGTAAGTATACAAATATCAGTGTACTAGTAGTATACTGGTAAGTGTACTATTTCAATACTCATTGGGACTAAAGTGGCCCACTTTTTAGTATATAAAATTATACTTTTAAGTATACCTTAAGTATAACAGCAGTAAACTTTGAGTACACTAGTGTACTCAACTGAGTACACTAAACTAGTTTACCTCTATGTTTTTTGTTTGTACTGCAACTATACTAAAAGTGAACTTATAGGTATACTGATAGTTTACTAATTAAATACTTGTAGTAGCATTTTTAGTACACTTTGAAGTATAGTCTCAGTAAACTACTAGTTTAGTAGTTTTATACTGCAAGTATACTCGTAAGTTTTCTTTAAGTGAACTTTACATCATACTTTAAGTATACTACTATGTCCCTATTTAGGTATTAATTTGTATATATTTTGTTACATGAATATCTGAACATACAAAACATCAAAAGAACAGGGTATCTGCTTCTAGCTTCATGCATTCCTTTTTTAAACACTTGAATGTGGATAAGTTTAATAAATAAAAAATAAATAAACAACATTTTAAACAAAAAGCTGAAAAAAAGACTATGAATTGATTCAGAATGATAATCAAAACGTAGATGGAGAATCAACACCCCAAAGCTTGACAATCAATATTACCTCTTCATGGGTCAACATTTTATTCAATAACGTTACACAGTTTTGATGCTGTTTTATATCTGATTATTAGTACCGCCACTCCCTAAACGCAGAGTACGCAGTTTGCGTAGGGCACCAACTCCCAGGGGGGCACCATCCCAGTTGCTCAAAAAAAAATTTTTTTTGTTCTATGTTAATATTAACATAATACATAAATAAAAATCTAAACACGAACATATATATTATATATACATAATTATAAAAAATGAATTTTATGATGAATGCAGTAGGCAGAATAAGCACACTTGATGCGCCATTCCCTCATCTGCGCCCGCGCTCGCTCTCACAACTTGTTTGCAGCTGAATACAAATTATCATCATATTTAATGGACAACTAGACTATATCAGGGAAAAGACATCAGCGCAGTCCGGCGCAGAGAAAAGAAAAAGAAAAAAGTCAGAGATGAAGCCCATGCATCACTTTCAGGTGACTAACGTTCATAATTCTGTGAAACTTTTTGGACTGTTGACGTTAGTAACGCGTTTTAATGTCTGTAATAATTTCACCACCAACAACGCATATATTTAATATTCTTAATATTCTAGTTTCCATGACTTAAAATGTATTATATAAAAACTACGAGGCAATATATGGTAGGCCTATATGGTTTAAAATAAATATGGTTTCATTGAATAACACTGTTAAAATACATCATGTAATACAAAATAAACCAATTTACATTATAATAAATGCCTGCAAAGGACACCAACAAAGGCCTGATAATTGCAGTTGTTACACTTACAGGACAATCAAATCCTTGTTTAATATTGACCAAACATTTAATTCAAATATCCACTTAATTTTTGGCCACCTTTTTACGATAGAAATGCTACATCCTCTTTAATTTCTTCAACAAAAACATGTGGACATCACAACCCTTACCAAAATTAACCATGGTTTTATCGTTAATTAAACGCTTAATTTTATTTTGTGTGATTTCTGAATGCTTGAGACCATAAAATCAATCAGATAACTCTATTAATAAAATCACAGCCATAGGTAACTGTCTAGAGCTACAATTGTAATTTATAAATAATGCAATTGAATTACAATTATTTATTTACTTTTATATTTGCGATTACGTGTGGAAGCATCTGTTGTTTCGGTTTCTTCTTCACTTGTATTTTGGAAATTCTGTACAGAAGATGTGTAATAGGGTCCCCCACCATATAACAATGAAAACATTCTCGGAGCAAGTATAGCTCAAATAAATTTAGACTTTTTCTAAGTACAAGTAAAGTATACTTAAATGTCATTTTAAGAATATTAAAGTAAGAAGTACATAAAGCACATTTCTGAGAAGTACATAAAAAGTAGACTGAAAGTATACTTTCCTATTTTATAGTTTAAAAGAAGTATACTAAAAGCACACTTGAATAAACTTATTTTTCGTAAGGGAAGTTCTTTATCAGTTCTTGCTTTTCTTGGTGATCAAACCCATGACCTTGGCACTACACTATGCTGTACTGATTGAGCTACAGGAAGGTATTTATGACACTAACCATTTATTTTTATGGTATCCGCAAATAGTTATTGACAGTCCTAAAACCAAGAAAGTGATTTTATGACTACTTTGACCCCTTATAGTATTTTTTTTTTTTTTGAGGTAGGGGGCACAACAATACTATTCTGCTTAGGGCACCCATTTGGCGAGCAGCGGCCCTGCTGATGATCATGTTAGATTACGTGTGGAAGCATCTGTTGTTTCGGTTTCTTCTTCACTTGTATTTTGGAAATTCTGTACAGAAGATGTGTAATAGGGTCCCCCACCATATAACAATGAAAACATTCTCGGAGCAAGTATAGCTCAAATAAATTTAGACTTTTTCTAAGTACAAGTAAAGTATACTTAAATGTCATTTTAAGAATATTAAAGTAAGAAGTACATAAAGCACATTTCTGAGAAGTACATAAAAAGTAGACTGAAAGTATACTTTCCTATTTTATAGTTTAAAAGAAGTATACTAAAAGCACACTTGAATAAACTTATTTTTCGTAAGGGAAGTTCTTTATCAGTTCTTGCTTTTCTTGGTGATCAAACCCATGACCTTGGCACTACACTATGCTGTACTGATTGAGCTACAGGAAGGTATTTATGACACTAACCATTTATTTTTATGGTATCCGCAAATAGTTATTGACAGTCCTAAAACCAAGAAAGTGATTTTATGATACAGTGTGATTGGTTTACAAGGGACACGTGATCCAAGATGATGATTACACTTTCTCCAACTGTAGAGCTGTGGAGGTCAGCATCTCCTTATATATATAGAAGTCACTTACTTGCCCTGAGCTTCATGAAGTATTTTTTAAAATAAAATAGCTCACTAGTTTCCGATTATATGTTTACGATGTGCTGTTGTTGCCAATAGATATCTGTATGACAATATTGCATTAGCAGCTGTTCCTTTGGGCAACTATGCATAAGCCGTCTGAATGCTCAATCGAGAGCAACGTGTATGAATAACTATATCTGCTAGTATTCAGCAGCTGATTTTCACAGGATTTAGTTTATCATTAATGTAACATAATTCTACATATGGTAAATAGAATGGCAAAAAATACTGGTTAAAACTCCTATAAATATAAAACAGTTGATAATCAGAGAACCTAATGACAGAATTTTCATTTTTGGGTGAACTATCCCTTTAAGCAACTGGATGCCAGTGGGTGGGGTCTATGTATATGTTTATGCAAATATTTATTCCCCCGTGATGTCATCATGTCCTCTCAGATCCGAATGAGCCATTTTTGGAGCTTAATTAAATAAATGCTTTGTTTATAATGAGAACGTTTTAAGCTATGAAATGTGCAAGATGTTTTAATGGTACAAAGACCTCTTATATGCCAAAAGATCAAGCCAAATTTGATTTCTCATGTCATGACCCCTTTAAGGCACATAGTGCCAAATCAATGGTGCGATACAGTTCATTAAAGCACTCCAACATTTTTTCATGTTTTTCAGAAGGTCTGCCTGATAAGTCTGCAAGACCGCCGATTCATCTTGACTCACCACTGCTTAAGTCTTTCCAACCAACAAGCACATGAGCCTGCACAACTTTGGTGGAAAACTAGGAGAGTATTCAGAGTATTCTCACTCTTGGAGAGTATTCATTCCCTCATCCTTGCAGCCAAAAGTGACAGGACAGGGGAAAATGAGAAATACAAGGCCTGAGCTGGCAGATTCCCCTTCCTCCATGTCCTTCACTTCCTTCGCTTGTGTGACCTCTTGGGCACCACAGAGGTTAGATATCGGAAGAGCTGGGGATTGATCTTTTTAAAGAACCCAACCTAAGAAGAAAGCATCTTGAACTTCATGACAGAGGCACAATAAACAGCTCTCATGCCCATATGAGAAACTTCTTTATTTCTCACATGGAGTTAAACACCTATGAATGCCATCTTGAAAAAGATGCGAGTGCAGAGATGAGAGTCTTTCTTATATTGTCCAAATCAATCATAATATATCAAACACACAGCAAGAGGGCACCTCAGTGCACATGATACACTTGTTGCCACACAGCTGGGGGTGGAAAATAATCTGAAATAACTGAAATAAGTCGCTGAAATAAGTGCAGAAGTAGAAATAAGGCAGAGTAAAGACTAGATGTAATCGTGAGCCTGAAGACAGTAAAAATTGGACAAAATGACACTGAACCCCCTAGTCTATATGTGCATGAGGACAATGACTGAAGTATAAACGCGTTCATGATTGAATGTGTGCTGATCTGCTTGTCACATTTTGAAGCCATATCATTGTAATTAATCTAATCATCATATCTAAATTCATAGGTCAACATCACTCAAATGTGACTGGAGAAGAAAAACACATTGAGGACAATTGGAGATGGGGGGTGGGGATGGGTTTGGGGCCCAATTCGAAGCTTGTCACAAATAATTTATTTTGTCCAAAAAATCCTCTATTGTGTGGTGTCATTATGATTATTTAACTGCTCCCGATTGAGACGGAGCACCCCCGAACTCAAGTTGTAAATATTAAACATGTTTGATATTTACGACTCTTGATTGAGCTGCCTCTGACATGATACCCATGAGCAATCATCACCTACCGGATGTTGCGTGCTTCTATAGCTGAAACTTGACAGCCACAAACATGCCATGAATGTAGAGTACTGAGAAAGAACATCAACAATATTTTGTTTTGTTTTGTTTTGTTTTTCACTGTACTGTACAACAGAACACGTGCCAGGTGAGCCATCTGATAACATCGATAGTCCTTTGTGTGTTTTGCTCCTCTAGTCACAATTGATCTTACAAGTCTGCTTGAGATCTTGTGTCACTGTGAAATTGTTCCTACAGTCAACAAGTGTTTGGTCTCGCGGTCTGGTCGAATCATCTAGTGTGTATGTTCAGAGGATTATAAGGCTAAGAATCAATTGAAACTGTCTTCATGTTTGTGGTCTCCCATGGTTTAAAATTTCACATGAAAGTTTGATTTGTATCAGCACCATTTGTTCCAGACTCAGTTTAAATATTTTGCAGGGAATAAAGAAATCAGATCAGATAAGTTACTTGATTACATGGTTACATCATAAGGATATAGAAGCTACATGATGGGAGCTGTGTGTTTTGGACATAGGTAAACCTATATTTTCTGAGCAAATCAATATTGCAAAAAAAAAAAAGATAATTATAAATAATGGTCCATTAATCATTAGTTTTACAAAAATATGTAAGAAGTACATGATTGTGCATCCACCACTACTATAGGCCTATGTAAAATTAAAATAAAAACAACGTTTAAAAAAATCTATAAATTATAGAAAGGATGAAATTTAAAATATAAAGAGTTACATTTATTTTATGTTAAGAATTACTGTTCACACTCTAAGCTGAGAACTTCATCATACATCACAGGGGTTTTTTTGTGGAGCTGAATGGCATGCATATAACATCAGCACACATCAAATGCCACAGGAAGTAGGCAAAAATTATGGTGCTTTAATTATGTTAATATTTTTAACATGTTAAAATTAATCACAGAAATGAACCCATTATGAATGCCAGCCATACTAAAACAAATGTTGTCCTCTTTTTCTATTACAGCGTGTAGGTAGATCATGGTTAAGGAAAGACACACTTGGTGGTTTTTGGATCCGAAGGACAACCTTTTACACATCAATGTGGGTGGGTTGAGGCACACTCTATGTTCAAGCATTCTGAAGAAGTTTCCGGACACGCGTCTTGGCCAGCTCTTGTCCTGTGACTCAGAAGATGACATTCTACAGCTCTGTGATGATTTTGATGTTCAACAGAAAGAGTTTTACTTCGACCGTAACCCTGGCCTTTTCCCTTATGTCCTGCACTTCTACCAGACTGGCAAGCTGCACATTATGGAAGAGCTGTGCATTTTCTCCTTCTCTCAGGAAATAGAGTACTGGGGCATCAGTGATTTTTTTCTGGACAGCTGCTGTAGTTACCGTTACCTTGATCGTAAACTGGAGAGACATCATAAATCGTGGGATGAAGAGAGTGATGTTAGCAGTGTGGATACGTCGGTTGATGAGATTTCTGATCTGAACAAAGATATCGAGCACTTCCATGAAATGCGTTTTGGAAACATTCGAAAGTGTCTGTGGCTAACATTGGAAAATCCAGGTTATTCAATTCCTAGCAAACTTTTCAGCTTGCTTTCCATTTGTGTGGTATTAATATCAATTGCCACCATGTGTATCAATAGCATTCCAGAGTACCAGATATTTGATGAAAATGGTAATCCAACCGAAGACCCAACTATGCATGTTTTAGAAGTGTTCTGCATCTGCTGGTTTACCTTTGAGGTAGTAACACGTATGCTTCTTGCACCAAACCATCGTAAGTTCTTCCTGCTACCACTAAACCTGATTGATATCATCTCAGTGATGCCAATTTACATCACTATCTTTTTTGATCTGCTCATTGGGAGTGAGTCAGAGCTGGACAACTTGGGAAAACTGGTCCAGGTGTTGCGGCTGATGAGAATCTTCAGGGTGCTGAAGTTGGCTAGGCATTCAACAGGGTTAAGGTCACTAGGTGCTACACTACGGGTGAGAATACACTGCTACTGTTCAAGTGCATTTACAAGCTGTATATTGAAGTGGTGTTCAAACCTGGACTCGGAGCGAGACCCAGAGCACTCCAGATTTTGTATGTCTAAAAACCCACTATGCTTCCCAATATGCATACTATCCACTCTAAGTATATCCAAGATTAGAATGAATTTGTCCCAGAATACAGTATGTTGAAATGAGAATCCAAAGATACCTGGATGATCTACTATTTCCAGTGGATTTTTGAAGCATGCATCCATGCACAGTCTAACAGCTAATATTGTCCACAAGCCCTCCTGATTTAAAATAACAAACACAAATATCAAAGAACTATAAACATGGCAGATGAGCATTAAATCTATGTACATTCCTTACTTTTATAAAACTTAAATTAGGTTTAATGCTTGAATGCAATAAAAAATAACATTTTTGTTGTAAGGCCTGACAAAGACACGGAATATGGTGACCATACGCCCTCTTTTTCCTGTCCTGGCCAAGATTTCTAAATAACCGTGAGACCTACAAAGAGGAGACACTCTGCATGCTGTCGAATCGCTATCACGGTACATTGTTGTCACACACGATTGATCTGCGCAGCATTGCTTCAAGCTGAACACACCTTTTGACTTTGTTTTCTATTGGTTTCATACTTGCTGAAAGTAAAGACTGAAAAGAAGTTTGAACAATAGCATGCAGCCATTGTACATAATCGACCAATCATGGCATGCAAGAAAGTGGGATCTACAGAGGACGGTTAACCAATGCAAATTTTAAACATTTTAGGCAATTTAGAAATCCCGGCCAGGACATGTCCAGAAAAAGAGGATGTATATTCACCCTACACAGAATGGGCTGATTAACCATGAAATCAAAATTGACACTTCTAATTTTTTATGGAATATTGCAGAGTTTATTATAAGTGATTTATCTATGCACAAAGTAATCTTTAATCAAAATAACTTCCCCCTGCAACAACATTTCTTCTTTTCTTTGATGACATGTTTACTGGAGCGAGGGCAGGACAACAACCTCACCACTCCACCAACCTGTCACACACATGAGATCACAACAATAGCAAACAACAATGATCCAATGATCCAGTTTAATAAATTCAAAACAGCAGGCACAAACAGGCAGTGGTCAAATAACAGGCAAACAGTCCAATGTTTTTGTCAGACAAAAATGCCAATCCAATAAACAGGTAGAACATCATAACATAAGGCTGATAATCTGAATCAGGTGTGTTATATAAAGGGAGATGCAGTTCTGTGGGTCCCCAGGATCAGGATTGAAAACCACTGACATATTGATTAGTACTAACTGTAAATGTTTTGATTATGCTTTAACAAAATGAATCCATGACACCAGCAAATAATCCATAAATAGCATATATTTTGATCTCCTTTTATTAAAAATTCTATAAAACCTTCAAGTCCTTCCAATTATTACAAAAATGGAATACAAAAAATACAAAATAATGGAATACAAAAATTATTCCTCAACCAGTTCAGTCAACTCCATAGCTTAAGCGTTTAAGTGCTTAAGTGTTTCTACTTATATTTTCCATGTCAAAAATCATGTTTTTGTTTCTTTGTGTAGCACAGCTACAGAGAGGTTGGAATCTTATTACTGTACCTGGCAGTCGGTGTATCAGTGTTCTCCGGAATGGCTTACACTGCAGAATATGAAGAAGATGTTGGTTTGGACACAATCCCAGCATGCTGGTGGTGGGGGACTGTTAGTATGACAACTGTGGGATATGGAGATATAGTGCCAGTGACAGTGGCAGGAAAGCTGGCAGCATCTGGCTGCATCCTAAGCGGTACATTAGTTGTGGCACTACCCATCACCATCATTTTCAACAAGTTTTCACATTTTTACCGCAAACAAAAAGCTCTTGAGGCTTCAGTGCGAAACAGCAACAACAAGAGGCTTATAATAAGACAACAGAGTAATAGTGAAGACAGCGCAATACATGGTCATAACCACTGTTTGGAGGATGAAGAGGATGAAGATGTGAATTATGAGAGAGGAGTTGTCAACTTTTGCTATGAAGACCATCCACTGACGAATAGATTCTGATGTGTCCACTATGCAAGAAAAGGAATATTATACCAATATCAAACATCATATCCTGGCTGAAAATAGAGTAGGGGGACAAATTAAAGGAAAATCTGTGCGATCCAGTGGTTCTGCTATGCTGTGGGGGGCATTTTGCTGCCATAGTTTGGGTCCACTTGCTCCCTTTGAGGGAAGAGTGTTTCTTAACTGGAAGGATGCATTATTTTTAGACTAGCGTTATCCTCAGCATTAAACAACAGAATGAGACAGTCTAGTAAGTTGGCATGGCTCCCCTGCGGTCACAGCATGAAAATACTATGAAAAATTAATTTTGGGGAAAAACTATATTGAAAATCTTTATATTATCTAACTTTCTTTTAATGCAATACAGTGAACAACAACTGACAGTGTTTCTTTTTTTTTGTGAATTGGAATGTATAAGCAATAATTCTGAAATCAAGTCACATTAATATTATATTTATATAATGCTTTATTCAATACAAATATTTTCAAAGCAGCTTCACAGTAATAAACAGGAAAATAACAGTGTCAGTGTTACAAAGTTCATAAATTATGAAAAACTTTAGTTATAAATATAAGTTATAAAGCAGCTCTACAAAAGGTAGTTAGCATAGTGGCATTAATCAACTCAAGTAAGTTTAATGCTGATTCAATTCAGTGACTGTGTCAGTTTTGGAAAGTTATCAGTTATAAAACAACTTCAAAGGAAGCTATACAAAAGAAAATAGTATCATTGTTCAGCTCAATTTTATTCAAGTTTTGCTCTCACTGAATAGCCTTAGTGCACCAACCGAGCAACCAAAACTCCATCAGACAACAATAGTAAAGAAAAAACCTTGTGAGAAAACAGGCTCTCAGTCAGGGGTCCGGTTTTCTTCTGGACTTAAATTAACAAACATTATGTGATCTATCATTCCACGCTGCAACACAGGTCAGACTTTGTGGACCGATATTATTCAAAAGTTTGCATTTAGCTCTTTCCACATGGACTTTGAGATACACCTCAATGGAATTTGGTGAGAAAATGGTGGACTTGTAGTCTGTAGTCTTTATATGTAATCAGCAAGTATACAATGCTTAATAGGCAGCCAATGCAGTGTTGACAGAACCAGGCTAATATGGTCATACTTCCTGGTCTGGTAAGCACTAGTTGCTGCACTTCAGACCAATTGAAGTTTATTAATCCTGTTAAAAAATTAAAAATCCTGCTCTCTTGATGGCGTCATGGCATCAGGACTGTTCTACTTCATCTTATTTAAGTGCAATTGAGCAACAGTATCTACGGTGCTAGAAAAGAAAGAGTCCATAGGTTCTGTTGCAACATCAAGTTATTATAATCTACTCTCATCTGATATGCAGAGGAGTAAATTCAACTGATGTTGATAAAGCAATTTTTAGTGGAAAAAGTGATAGTTCTCCCATATTTGTAACAGGGACTTGAAGCTTAGCTAAATGGAGAATAAACCAGATCAGATTATCTGAGATGTTACAGCTCTGCAGTAGAATTTCTATATTATCAACAGATTTTACATGACAATATTAAATCTAAGCATGATTATGACAATGAGTGGCTCCTGACACAGGTTGTCTAACTCCAGTAGAGTTTAGAATGTCTATAAAAACCAATTGTAATGTAACTTTTATGATCATATTATGGATATTAAAATCACCAACAAATAAGGCTTTATCTGCAACTGGTACTAACTCGGGTAGAAAATCAGCAAAGCAGTGGCAAGCAGTACATGTAACAAAAGAAGATGCCATGACTCAGTTTTTTTAAATTGATTCTGATTTAAAGCAGCTGTTTGAAAGACTTGTAAAATATGAAATGAAAGAGAGAAAAGAGATGGTAAACACAACTGACAAGTTAATGTAATGCTAACAAACTGTGCAAGCAATAGATATTCAGATTAAAAAGCAAATGATATCAGATTATTTTTGATAGACAATATATACACTTGGCACAGCCGTCAAAATACAGTGAGCAAAAGATGCAAAATGAAGGCTGCCTTCCAAAGAATTCTTCAAATTGAGATCACTTTCAATAGAAATTGATGACTTGGTTAGGTATGCAGCATTACTAGCATGAAACCTTTAGATTGAGAAACACCCAAAGTTGTTCTGAGTAATCACTTTTTTCCTATGACAAAACATTTCTATGCATAGAGCACGAGGGGTCATGGAATGGGTTGATGAGTATGAAAATGATATTATCTACATGGCCTTCATAGTCACCAGATCTAAACCTAACTTAGTTTTTGGTATCTTAGACAGTGCAAACCCATGACCTCTGCAATACTAGCATTTCTTGGGAATGGAACCCATGACCTCAGCATTGCGGGTGTGTTAGTGGTTTGAACACTTGCTGTGCATGATGTCCCAAACTACAAGAAAACCTTTGCTTCAGCTGTTCCTGCTCTTGTATAGAGGTTTACTATAATAAAAAATCTAATATAATAGCAGTCTTGTATTGTATAGTCCTAAGACAACATGGCATAGAAGGTGATGTAAGGTACCTCTAAACAGCGATTTTTTTTATTTATGTTTTTGAGATTAAGGCCATTGTCTCTCTGCCATGAAGAAATGTTGATTCATAACAAATCAGAGTCATTCATTTCATTCTCTAAGGTAGAGGAAACCTCAGGGGTGTCTAGTCCTTCTCCTAAAGCACATGTCACTGTCCTGCAGAGAGTAGCTCCAACCAGCTCCAAAACACCCGCCTGGAAGTTTCTAGCAGAGATTGTCTTACTATTCCCAGGTGAAAAAAGTGCACTAAAATACATTTTATTTCAGTACACTTAGTACACTTCCATAATGTACTTAAAGTGCTCTAATTTTGTACTTAATATACCAAAAATGATTCTTTAGTATAATTAAGATAAGCTTAAGTACATCTAAGTGTACTCAGCTCAACTGTGCTCTTTTGGGACACCATGAATATGAACTAAAATGTGCTTTTAACATACTTTCTCTGTAAAATAAATAAATAGATAAATAAAATGTATTTTGTTACCACTTGCAGTACAGTTGAAACCATCTTTCATATACTTACAAATATACTCATCATACATAGAAAATACACTTATTAATTATTTAAAATATTAGAATAATATATAATGAATGTATACAAAATGTATTTATCAAGTATTGCTCACATATTTTTATAGATTAAATAATTCATTTAAAATGTATTGTAATTATGTTAACATTCCCTTTATATGATATACTTACATGTTTATGGTGTCTTTAAATAATACAATCAAGTACAGCTGCCGTTTTTTTACCGTAAATTTTACGGAATTTTTTTTACAGTGTATTACTATGTCATTAGTAGCACTTTTTTAACATTAAAAATATAGCACTTCAAGTACTTTCTGCTAAAAGTATACTTATTGTTAAATTGTGAATTTGGGTACACATCTAAACACATTCTAAAATTACACCTATTGTGTAGCCACTTCATGAAGATGTTTTCCATCATTAAAAACGTAACTACTTAAATGTTAGAAATAATACATTTTAATAAAATTACTTTAAATGTAATTCATGCAAATGTAAACGCCCATAGATTAAAAGGATAATTACCCTATTACCACTTAGATATAACAGCAGCACAGGTATGGTATGTAATTTACAAACAAACAAAAGAGTATCTCTTTCATCAAAAACACTTACATTTTTTTGTGATGTATATTTTCACACACCACACAAGTCCAAACGGGCCTTAAAAGAAAGGTGGTTTTGGTGCTTCTGCTGATATCATGATTATCATTTAAAATAGATGATATACCTCAAACAGATGACGTTTGTTGTTATCTCGCTGCTACAGTAGAATTTACTGTTTGTAGAATGTGCTTTACTGAGCGGGAAAAAAATGAAAACCAAAGAAAGAACTTATTGATATTTTTAGACAATACACATCATTACACAACATCTATTATTAAATAATAATGCAACACATTTGTGACCCTGGACCACAAAACTAAAGTCTTAAGTCGCATGGGTATATTTGTAGCAATAGCTAACAATACATTGTATGGGCCAAAATGATCGATTTTTCTTTTATGCCAAACATCATTAGGATATTAAGTAAAGATCATGTTCCATTAAGATATCTTGTAAATTTCCTATCGTAAATATATCAAAACGTAATTTTTGATTAGTAATATGCATTGCTAAGGACTTCATTTGGGCAACTTTAAAGGTGATTTTCTCAATATTTAGATTTTTTTTTGCACCCTCATATTCCATATATTCAAATAGTTGTATCTCAGCCAAATATTGTCCTATCCTACCAAACCATATGGAAAGCTTATTCAGCTTTCAGAAGCTGTATCTCAATGAAATCTCACTTTCAAAAGATTGACCCTTATGACACATTTGCTGGTAGTAACACCTGACTGCAAGTTTCTAGTGATCCTGAAGACTTTGATTAACTGGTTCAAGTGTGTTTAAATAGGGTTAAGGCTAAACTCTGCTGAAAGGTGGCCATCCATGAACAGAATTGGACATCCCTGCTCTTCCTTCTTATTAGCTCTCCTCTTACCATTCCATCATGAACAATTTTTCCCAAATCTTTCAATGGTTATCATTACTTGTTCTTTCCCTTGCCCTCTTCTCTTTCTGCTTTCACCCTCTATTTAACCTGCTACATCTTGTTCACCTCCTCTGCTCTTCTCTTCACCTCTTTCTCCTACTGCGCTTCCTCTACCCACTCTACCTCTTTTAAGTCTTACCTCTTTTTACAAGTCTTTTTATAAGTCTACCTTCTTTTTACAGTTTCTTCACAGTCGGCCATTGTTTCTTTCTTTTCTCTGAATATTTACAGGTTACTACTGCTACACCATCTATTCTATCTAAACTTTAGATTGGGGAAATATGTGTGTAGTGCTTAGAGAAAATAATGCATATATTTTATTTATTTATTTAAAAATGTATGAAAGACCAAATATGCAAAAATGAAAAAAATAAATGCATAAATATATGAATAAATGAGCTAATTATTT